TGCAATCAACCGCCTATGGGCATGGTGATTGTGCTACTCATCAAGGGGTAGCTCAGTTTAGCAAACAGGAAAATACTGGATGTTTTACCTCTCAGTTCAGAGTCAAACTGCTTGTCCTCTCTGACAGATGAATAACTGTTTGAGTTAATGAACACCAATCCATTCTGCCCTTGTTTTACAATCTCATTGTTCAATCCACCATCAGTGTGTTCTTGTTTTTGTACCTCCATGCTATTCTGCACCCCAATATCTGCAAATTTCAATTCATATTTACATTTAAATCTAAACATGAAACCTCTGGAGATAACCTTTAATTCTACATTTGTTTATATTATTTTTGGTTCCATGAAAAAAGGAGAAAAACAAACATAAGTAAACAACAGTGTGTCTATTTCCTTACAAAAATTTTAATGGTTCAAATTCAACTGGAATTTGCTGCTGCTTTCAAAGTAATTAACAGCAAAACATTGCCACTCAGGCTGAATTCAAATTCAACCAAAAGCCGAAAATTTAAAATTGTACTGAGTGTTACCTGCTGGGACATGTTGCTTCAAGGAAGGCATGGGCTCATAAACATGCGTAATGGTGTTTTCAACTGAAATCACATCAGTATTTGCACAGATTAGGTGGCTACCTTAATAACAATGTTGCGATGAAGTTAACCGTATTTTAATGTCACAAAGTTAATAAAAAGTGTCACCAAATGTGTGATCTTTTTAGAAACTGATGTCCAGGTGCCAACACCTAAGAGTTCTGAACAACTTGAGAGTAACCAATACCTACAATCATCAACAAAATGTTTGGGACACATGCCTTTGACAGACCTTTGTGATTTGCAACAGTTGGTCAATAACAAATTCAGTGAAGAACTGACTCAGTGTTAAATCTATTCTCGAACAAAACACAATTCATTACTAATGTTAAGTGAAAGAAACAAATACCTGTGACTGGTTGGTCTGGAGGGATGGCCCATATAGCAGGGTTATCTTTCTTCCTTATTTTGCCATCAATAATTTCAACAGCTTCACTGCCTCTCAGCGCCTGTGAAATATTTGCTATTAGTGGCTCTTCAAAGTATAACAAAACATCAGGGAAGTAACAGAAAAAAAAGCTTTGAATCATGCCAGACCAGTAGTAGATGAATGAAACATAATGCTATGGATGGGATGAGAATTCACTTTCCAGAAAATTAATGAATGAACTATCTGAAAAAGGTTAAAGGGGACTAAATATCTTTAAAGTACTTTTAAGGTGAATACAATTGTGGTTTAAGGGTCAGTACTTTCACCTGGACATACATCATGTGATAATATATGAAAAATTGTGTAATTTGACAAATTTCTCATCAAAGGCTACCCTCAATTCCTGCACATTGTGTTTACAAACCTCTAGAATGAGATTAACATCCTGCGTAAGGGCCTGAACCCGATAAAAGCTTGCAATAAGTCCAATAGGTATAAAGCCTTCAGAGTCCATCTGAGCATAACAGAAAAATAAACATACACAAGTGTGAATTGACATCGAAAATCAGTTTAATTTTGTGAAGACATTGAATTTTTTGCTTTAGATGTGACCAATTATTGATAGGCAATTATTACCTGGCGTCTCAAGAATATGTCTTTGGTAAGATTCTGTTCACTAAAGTAATACTCTCTGTAACAAAATAAGAAAGAATTATTTCAGTGAAACATTATACACCATCACATCTGCAAGATCCATGATTTTACACAACTCCTCTTTTTTATTACTACACTTACATCTGGTTCTTAATATATTCTTTGAGTGTCATCTCATCCAAAGTTATAGCAGTGGCGGCAGCAGCAGCAGGGGCAGGGGCAGGGGCAGCAGGTGTGACAGGCATATAGTTACCAGAGTTATAATAAAAACTAGTGCTGTATGGCTGATTTGCAGCATACTGGGGCTGTGCATAATAAGTTGTTCCATTGTACATCTGATAGCCAAACTGACGGTATGCTGGGTTGTAAGGCATTTGCTGATGACTACCATCCCCTGAAGACAACAACAAAAAAAACATCAGCCAGTGCTAAACAATAATTTATTTCAAATCTACTACCAGATATAAAATTTTTGACCCACTCAGACTACTGAACAATCAGTCCAGTTTAGAAATTCTGCTGAACAACTCCTATTGAGTTAAAAAAAAAAACACACACACACAATCTCATCCATTAATATTTACCCATTCAGATTTAGACATTGCCTTGCCCTGCTGTTAACTCTCACAAGGACTAGAGGGGATAACATGTCCACCCCGTTAAACACAAGAGACACAGTGATGCTAATGAGCTAATGATATCTTCCCGAAGGATTGTTGAAGCATCAGTCACTACTACTCTCACCTGAATGATCAGGCTACAAGATAAATTAAAGACTGATAATGAGCTCTATCTTCCATGTTCCAAGTGTCAGTCATTTGCTTTTCCAATAAAGCAAGATGCTAACCTAACTTCTCTCACTTATAGATTTACAGATTTTAAGAGATCTTCCACGTGCAGTTGTGTTTGTACGAATGAACCATCAATCTTTTGTTGTCTAGTCACTATTTAAATACCCACTGTCCAATCAGTTTCACTACATTCAAATAACAGGACACAGCGCAAAACTAAAACACAGCACCTCTGGGTGAACGTCGTCCTCGTCCTCGTCCTCCACCTCTTCCTCCACCACGTCCCCCTCTGCCACCCCTCACAGGAGACACATTGCCTGGCACATTTCCTGGACTGAACCTTGTGGTGGGTGACTTTGTCGCCTTGGGGTTAACAGTTGTTGGTGAGGTGGCCTCAGGTGATGTGGGTGATTTTTCCACTCCCGAATCATTAGCAGAGTTCTCTAAGGCACTTTCAGCACCTTCTAAGTTCAGTGGGACCCATTTATGTCTTCCACCTGGAAGCCAGATACAAAAAAAAAAAATTGTCAATGATTCAACCCTCAACCCTGTAAGGGATAAACGCCAAGCAATAGAAGCAAGTCTGGAGTATTGCATATTAAGTTTACTATTAAGGTGTTACAAAAATTGTTCACAAACCATCAGATGAGAACAGGAAATAATTTGTTGAGTTTAATTTTTTTTAAGCCTTAGCCCTGAGCTTGCAATCATCATTGTAGAGAAAAAATTATAAGCAGAAGATGGCTTTTCAACTTGTGCCACACATTTTCCTGTACATCATTGACATAAAAAGTAAAAATTTATCACAAGACATTTCCTTTTTAAGTGTTTTTCAAGATGTACATGTGTTATTGTCTTAATACTGCCAGGAATAACAACATATGAAAAACATAACATCTCCTTGCTGTAAATTTACCTTTTACTTTTTCATTATTTGAGACTATTTTAAATGGTGATTGCTACTTTTGTTTTTATCTTTAAAAATATTTATCAAATGCCGATGGAAAAAAAAGAAAAAGAACTATGCGGTTGGTCTTGTGTTGACGACCAACAGTTTCACTAACAAGTACAGAAATATCACAGATACTAGCTAATTATTCAACAGCAGTGATGGGGAAACAAAAGAAAGTGAACTGAAATCCATAACCATCATATGATATTTCTTTGCAGAATGACTTCTCAGTTCTTTTCAGTTGTTTTTCTTCCTTAGGCTAAACAAGAATGACTTCATTTCCTAAAATACTTCTTTAGGTAAAAAATATCAACAGCTGTCAATGTGTGTAAGATTTTGCAATAGATATGAATTGAAGTAGAGACTAGTGGACACTCTTCAATGTTGGCAGCTAGGCAACCAAGGAAAAGAAAAACTATTTAATTATTTTTTCCTTGCATTGTGATCAAGTGTCAATTTACAAAGAAAGATATACTTTGAAAGCAATATTTAGAAGAAACATGTGTACAATACCCTATGAAAACTAAAATAGAGATGTTCAAACAACAAAAGTTTTGCCATATTGAAAGTAAACTTTGGCAAAACTAGATTAAACCTTTCAGACTAAGATTTAGAAATTATAGACCTGCTGTTAGAAAGTTGGATTATACCAGCACACTTAAATCATGGACCAGCAGCACAGAAAAAACCACATGTACTGGTGAATTAACGATTAATCATGTTATTACCATGTTCTGCACTTTGCACTACTTTCAGTTTGAGAAAAGTTTCCTAAATGGCCCCATTAAGAAAGGATCAGTTACTCAACCATATGGCATAAATCTTTCATTTTACAGCAAAATATCTTATGGTGAGAAACTGCAAAAATCACCTTTGAGTAAAGAGAGATTCGCTAATGATGCTCAACAAAGCACCACAATGAAAGAATTCTAACATGAGAAGTAGACTTCAGAAGCCATACAATTTTTAACCCACCACTAAGAAGTGTAAATACAAATTTACTACTTGTTGCATCTCATGATTCTTAGGAGTATCCTGACCAATCTAAAATTGTCTTCAAATTTTCTTTTGATCACAGATGCTGCCATTTTAAAATAATTAATGAACCTGGCTACAGAAGCAAAAGCACAACTCACAGTTCACAAAGATGAGAGAAAACACAGAGAAAATAATTCTTTCTCAAGTCAAAAGTGTCTTTCCATGCAGCTCTAAAGAGCATCCAATCACCAATTACAGAAAAAAAGTGTAATACCTCCAGAGTCGCAAGGTTGTTGAGCAGGATTCAAGATAGCAGCATCAGCAGTAATAGGGGTTTAGTAGGGGTTTCAATAATTTTTTCAATAAAGGGTGGCTGATGATGTAATAGGCAGCTGTGCCCAGAAAAAAGTTGGTAAAACCCAAACATAAGAGCCAACTTTAAAGCCAGACAGACAATGGTAAAAGTTCTAATAAGCAGTGGTAAATTGCTAGTAACCAGCTTTTAATGAAACTACTGCCATAGTCAACCTTTATGAATAACTTAAGACAACTATTCTTCAAATTTGGTTTGTTCATAATTTCATACACACTTTTTAGGACTGGTGAAAAAATAACTCTTAAAACATTTCACAAGTATGTGACCTAACACATTTTGAGTGTTGCACTAATTTTCATGACAACAAATGATTGCATGGACAACTGAACATTTTGGTGGTATAAACCACCCTGACTAGTGATTTAAATTAACCAAACATATTGGTAATAAACAACACCTTAGAGATAATTTTCATTGTAACCAGTAAGCCAGTTTTAGTTTCATAAGACACAAAAATTGCTGACAACATCTCGATTTCTTCATAGACTTGTTTATCCCGTAGACTTAAGAAAAATCATTATGATGCATTTAAAGCTATAGTGAACATGACACCTGACTGGTGTTCCTGTTATGCAAATGTAATTCATAATTGGAATAGTCTCTTCAAATGTATCTTCCCTACATAATTTGCCAGATGCACATAACAAAACTGTCTGGAAATAAAAGGCTTCCAAAAAGTTGAAGAAGAAAGGACAGTGTACAAAGGAACGAAATACTTTAAGTAAAACCTAGGCTACCACAGTAGGAATTAAATCTGTTACTATTTCAAACCACTGCAACAAATATACGGGGTAAATATAATTGCAATTTGGTGCCATAACAATACAAAAAACGTTAGACTAGATTAAAATTATACTAATTAGGTTGTAAAATCATTGACCATAACCGTTTTAGTGAGAGTCAGTTTCAAATTTTAATCTCTTAGACTGGTGCAATTGTTAATAGTCTGTTGTGGTGTATACAAAAATTAGCATGCACAGACATTTAGAATCTGGTGGGAATAAATAAAAGAGCATTCAAACAATTTATTCAGATTAAAGAAAAAAAAGTTTATATAGGAAAGCATAGGGTATGAATACTTGAAAGTATGTGTACGGCAAACGATATTTAAATTCGTATAAGAAAATGGTCAAAAATTGTGAGCGAAACTTAAACTAAACAAAATTCCGAGCGTTAAAGGTCAAACTAAACCCAGCAGTATCTTCCCGAGATAAAATGTTTCTCGGATTATGCTGGCTTAGTTGTTTTCTCCCGTTGTTATCGAAAGCTATAAACGAAATACAACACGCGTGAAGTCTATTTTGGGAAGTGCAGGAAAAGGGAATAAGTTTAAACACTTCTATGCCCAAAGAAACAGCCTTACTTCAGCCAAAAGATACAACTCATTAATATTTCAAACAAAACCATTCCTAGTTGGTGGCCGCAGCGACAATGTTCTTATGTTTGCAGAGAGCACTTTAAACGTGTGTAATTAGATCACAAAACCTTTTTTCTTCGGCGTGGTTTTCTGGTTTTCATCGTCTCCAGACAGTTCGTTTTCAGCATTTTCTTTCTTATTAACAGAGGCCTTCAAAAAAAAAAGAAAAAAAAAGATTGAAAAACAAACGTTCAACAAAGCAAGTCAGTCGTAAATATACAAGGCTAAACATGAAACACAAATGCACATCTACATATCGTCCCTGCCGTAGTGATATTATAATTTGCGTTACCTTTCCGTCCTTAGAGGAAGCCGTAGATTCGCCAGGAGTTGGCCAATTTGTGATATCCGTGAACTCACTGCCCTAAAATTCAACAGACAACAACACCTGAGCAAATGAATAACCCGCGTTGTAGCTCCATTGCGAGCATGTAGCAAACTAACCACCAACCCTATACCCCTGAGTTTCACTTACCTTGCCCTTGCGTTTAGCGGCTTTCACAACAGTTGGTTTCGCAGCTTCTTCTGAAAGAGATATACACACAGGGACTAAAAACGAGTTGTTTAAAAAACCAGTGGACGTAAAGGAACCTTTTCCTTTCGTACCTTTTTCGCCATTGCTTTTCAAGTGTCTTGTCCAAGGATTTTTCGGCGGGGGAGGTACTTCCATAGGATCATTGCGATTCCCCTCTTTCTGCGAAGTGTTTTCGCTTGAAATATCGTTGTCTTCTACTGCAGCAGTATGGTTTTCGACTTTGACGTGTTCTTCATCATGTCCACAACTGTTGTTAACTTGATTTTTACCCTCCACGATATCAAGTTTCGTCTTAGGAACGCTTTCGACTTCAGTCATAATACGGAGTTGAACGTGTTGTTACGTCGACGTATTTCAAACAATTCCACAAGGCAACCTTCAGCCGACGAACAACCTTGAACCCCACACACGAAGAGCAGATAGTCTCAGATTGTGTCCGCGAAGGTTTCCTGCGTTCTTCCAAAGGTAAACAACCTAAAATATCAGGCAAATTTACCGCTTTTCTTCACCATTCAGCCATGTGGCTAGAGAGACCGAATCTTGACTCCGCAAAACCTTAGTAGCCATGCGCGGAGCAAGTGATCAGGACTGCGAATGGACCAATCAGCTTCGACATTAGAACAAAGAAAGGAAATAAATAAAAGCTTGTCTTTGGGTCAGTCACAGGCTGTACAAATATGAAAGGACTACCCGTGCTTAGATGAAACATTAAAGACAAAATAATGGCGATACCTTCCTTACCTGTTGTATTAGAAACGTGAAGCGCATTTCTCGACGCCTTATAGCTCTAAGACGTGGAATACTCTAGCCAAACAAAAGAAATCAATTTGTCTGACGGTTTTTTTTTTTTTTTATTTACGAGACATTTACATCAAAGTGCTTCTTTAAAACTATAGGCGAAAAGTTTGATTATCTTGTCATGAATATTCATTACTGTTTTCTGACTGTTGAAAGCAGCTGTTTTCAACTGAAGAGTGTTTTCTCACCATATTATCTGAATTTCCGAAACTGGTACGACTGGGTCGGAAAAGGATTTGAGTCAGTCATAAGCTTAATTGGAAACAAATACTAAGTAAATTATGCGACAGATTCGGGCTTCAGGCTAATCGTGCACTTTAATCGACTGGGGGATGCTTTAATTTTTTTGTGTGTGAAAACTCAAACAAGGGCAGTCAGGGAAAAGTTAGGACGGCTCATTTAAATTTTATCAGTCACCGCTCTTGATATTGGATTGACCTCTTTGGATGATCAATATCTGCCTAAATATTACAACTCGTAAACCTTTAGATCACCGTAAAAAAATATAGTCTAGTCTGCGCTTTTCCTCTTGTTGAAACCTTTCTTGAAATTATCAAAAAAGTGTACTACATCAAACTTGAGTTAGGATGAACAAACGGTTAACACAATCTCATGTCAAATCAGTTTTCCTTAGCTGACTGCCCTGCATCAATATTTGACTGGGGATACTATATATCGGGCTGTATAAAATATACTTTAGTATCTCTACACGTGGGGAGTGCACTCAGTCACGCGGCCATTCCCGAGAAATTCATAGCTAGGGGATCAAAGTTCCAGCAAATTTTTCTAAGATGAAGTAATTTCGTGTTTCATGCTTTAATTTTATTTGTGTCCAAGTCTGCCCATTTACGTTTGTCATTATCTTAGAGAAGGTTGCGGTTATCCATCAGGGTGACTACCCTTACAATGACGTAGTGCTCGTTTGTCTCAAAATGTTATCATTTCCGGAGTGGATCGTAGCGTTTCGACCGCATTTGACATCGAGTCTTCTTCAGGTGACAAGCTTGACAGGATACGCGACACCTTACAAACCACTGCGCTTAACTGTAACTAGCTGGTACTCAACAACTGTGATCACAGGCAGCCCAAACTCCAGCTGTGAGATGACCATCTTGCGTTATTAGAGTCGTGGCGAAAATATAGCAGTTACTATGGGAATATTTACGACCGCTCTTAGGAAGTAAAATGCAGACAGGTTTTCAATAAAAAAAAACAGCTCACCTTACTTCCAAAGTGCATCGCTTGTTGTCTGACCGCTTACTATGTTTAAAAGAAACCATTTCACCGAGTTACCCATTTCTAGGTTTACTACTTCTAAGAGAAGGGCTCCTTCTCTTAGGAGCAGTAAATCTAGAAATGGATAACGCTCTAAAATGGCCTCGTTGCAACAAAGTAAGCGGTCACAAAACAAGCAATGCTCTTTGAAAGGAAGGTGAGGTATTTTTAATCGAGAATTTTACTCTATTTTTTATTCCTAAGAGGGGTCGTAAATATTCCCATACAAACTCTAATGACTCCTATTACGCAAGATGATCATCTCACTGCTGGAGCTTGGGCTGCCTGTACTGTGATTAGCCTATTTGAAAGCGGAGCTCGCAGCGCGCGCGAAAGGCGCAGCTAAACACCATTCGCAGTTTAAAAAAGTTAGCAGCCAATCATGAAGAGAAAATTTCGTAAAAAAGGACCCTGCTACCGACCGTCTGTACAAGACGCTACTTTTAGCATGCGCGTTCAGGCCCACATCCACACTGCCACGTTCCTCGTGTTCATCGGACGACTTTGACTTAATTTTTATTTAACCAATCATATGGTTGAGGAAATAAATACAATTGTACAACCATTAATTTTAACCACTGTTCTGCGGCATTTTGTAACAACTACTCATTTTGTGATAAAGGTGGTAACATTTTGATTGAAGTGGATGTCCATTTCAATGGAAGTGAAGTTAAACCTTTGTTTGCAAGTAACGCAAGTAACGCTATATATCAAAGTTGTAGCCCTATATTCTGTCTATATCCAAATAATGAGGCCTAATAGTCATACCTTGTCACTAATTTAATAATATCAATTTTCCTTACTTGTTTGTATGTTTTTGTGACAAAGTTGATATTATTAAAATTTGAGTCACGGTGTTGTCACAAATTGCGTCGACAAACAATTACGACAAAATGATGCAGTTCTTACATCAAAATACGCAAACTATTACAAAATGCCGCAACCGTAGTTACAAAATACGTAGGTAATTACAAAAGGCGTCGTCATTACAACATGACGTTGAATCACCACCTTTATTACTTTCGATATTCGTATGAAATCATTTGTACATATGGAGAGTCTTACCATTCCCTTCAAATGAAATAATTACATTTAACATAACCTTACGCTCTCAGGCGTATAAATACAGGTTTTGGCTTCACTCTTTCACTCCCAAAATCAAAACCTCAATTCTCTTCTCAGTTTTCCATTCATTTCTTTCAATTTTAGAACTGAGGATTTGGTGTTGGATCAAACCATGTCAACTGGTTGATAGTCTTCGTACCTGCAAGTCACCTTTCTACATGAAAAGGTATCAATACTGTGAGGAGAAATTAATTTTTGGTCACTCCTGGGAGTGCAAGGATTAAAATACCAATGATGTCTTACATCCCTTCTCTGACCAATTTCAGAGCTAAATTTCCAATTTATCCAACACTAAAACGAGCTATTTTAAAAGTATGATAAAAGACAAAATAACTAATTCTAAAACTACTCTAAATCTTTGAATAAAAACTACCCTTGAATAGGCGTCCCTAAACCCTTTAACTCCCAGAAGTGATAAACATGTAACTTCTCCCTGAAGAATCCATACATTACCCTGCAGACAGATAGTGAGATAACTCAAACTTATCAGGTTCAAGATATTATCTTGATTGAACACCAAATTCTCATAACCAATTTACATAGTTATAAATAAAGGGCAAAATTACTGAGTGCTGATTGGTTGAGAGAGAGGGCATTTTTTCTTAATCAAGGGCATTTTTAGTAATCAAGAGAGGGCATGATTACCTGTTAATGATTGGCTAATCCGTTGCATAGCAACCGTTCATTATCTTGAAATTTGTTAAAAATAGACTGCGCGCGTGATTTTCCTTTGTATAAATTTTGCCCTTTATTGATAAACAAGTAATCCCATGAGACCTCATACTATTAAGGATTAATTGCACTTGAGTTCTCAAAATCTTCCAAATTGCCCTCGTCGCTTTGCGACTCTGGCAATTTTGGAAAATTTTGAAAACTCTCGTGCAATTAATCCTTAATAGTACTTGGCCTCATGTGATTACCTATACAAATGTGGAGCAGCTAGAGGGGTGAATTACCAATCAGGTCTTGGCAGTAAAAGGGTTAAAATAACCTACTGAAGCTTGCAATTGCACTATTTGCAAATTTGCTTCTTTACAACATGTTCCTTTTTCAGTTTGGCAAAATGCAAGGTTTTAAAATAAGGAGCTGCCCTGTTATTTTAAAATTCATGATTAGCTCTGCATATTAATACACAGTCAATGAGGTCATCTATGAGCTCTCTATATGGAAAAAAAATTCAAGTTTGAGAATACCTCTACCTTTTCAATACAAAAGAAAAAGGAAAACAATTTCACCGAGTGACATTAAGTTGAAAAATAAAACACTATATCATTTCTATCGAAAGGTCAACCCTTTGATATCAAAGACTGACCAGCATCTAATTTCTCCTTGCAATATCACCACTGAACACACATTAAAGTTACAAGAAAGGAAATAATCACCAACTAAAGAAACACTTGATTGTTATACAAATTCTCCTTGTCAGCACCTTAGGAAATGTATAGAGAACAGTATGGAGAATTTATACTTCCTCATCTCAAAAACTGGGTGTTCTATGGGCTGGAAGCCATACTTGATAAACTCTAGTCTTGACTCAGTCATATAATTATTTACAGTATGTACTTTAAAGGGGCTGAGTCACCTAACATCTTAATATTTCAACTGACCATTAGCTATGGAATATATTAAAATACCATCAAAACAGCTCAGACCTTGAACTCTCACAATGTAATCTACGCTTTTTGTTACTTAATATTATTTTTGTCATTGTAAAGTAGTTAGGATCATATTTTAAATATCAAGATGATGCTCCTAAGCAGATACAAATTGTCTATTTCCCCCACCTAGTTTGAGGGACAATGTACTGATGACATATGGAGAAATAGCAATAAAAATTTGAAATATAATTCTTTTTAAGCAAACAGAGGCAAGACTAGAAAAATTTGGAAGCTGAAAAGTTAACTTGGAAAAACAAAGCACAATCTTTCTCCAGTTTCATGTTGCTCATCTTGGGCAAAAAAAGTTTTCTAACACTCATCAGAGGTAATATTAAAGTTAAAAGGTTCATCCAAATCTCTGTAACATCACCTTGGATGCAATGCTGGTTCGTTGCAAGTTCCCCCCACAACCCCCCCCCCCCTTTCATTTCATTACTTTTCCCTAACAGTTCCATAGAAACAATTTACACCTCTGAGTAAAAAGGGATACTGCAAGAGTAAAGTACCATACACAAGAACATGACACAGATCTGGTCTGGAATTGGAGCCAGATATTCTGGCCCAAAGTCCAGCTAAACTATTTTTCATCATATCTTCCACATTCAGAAATGTTCTTTTTGTGAAATGTTTGCTATTCTAATTCTAAGTTTAGTGCTCACAATTAAAAAAAAAAACAAACAAACAAACAACAAAACAAAAATAAAACTAAATAGCTGAACAAAATGACCTTCCTTACTCTAGTCTACATTGCTTTTAGGACCTTCCTTACTGTTGTTTACATTGCCTTTAGGATTTTCTTTTGATTATCTAATGGATAAATGCAAGGAAGTTGAAATTTTCTTTCTACTGGCATGATTTTACAACACTGATACTCAGGGTTGTTGCTAAGCACCAGCTGCCTGCAAAAAATTGGCCAGCAGTCACTTGGTGAAGCACAACAGGCACTTCTGACATAACGCATGTACAATTGTTCGATATCAAACACTATCATTGAGCTGCCTCACTTGAATTTTCAGCCACCAGCCTCTTTTCTTAGCTACAACCCTGAGCACATCACACTCCTAAGCATGTCACTGCTTTCCTTTCTCTGCAAGATGTATGTTATCATTGGTTCTGCTTTTCCCTTCATAGTAACAGGTCCTCGCTTTTTGAACACAAAACGATCATGTGGCTGGCACAGCAGCGATCTGAAGTGAAAGAAGGTGACAAATTGTAGTCATTAAATAACCTTTTCACTCCCAGAATCTAAATACCTTGATTTGTGATCAACATGCAACATGTAAATTACTATCCAAATTTAAATTCATTATCAAATTAATAATAGCTGATGACTGAGGAGGGGGAAGGGAAAGGCCAAAATCCCTGCTAATGGAATCTCTTGGGTAGGAGGGAAAAGCCAAAATCCCTGCAGATGGAATCCTTGGTGTAGCATCCCTAGGGGTGGATTCAATAATAACTACTGGTGACTAAGGAGGGGGGAGGGAGGAGGGAAAAGAGAAAAGGCAAAATCCCTGAGGGTGGTATCCCTAGGTTGGGATCCTTGGAGAAGGATTCAATAATTATGGTTGATAACAAGGGAGGAGGGAGGGAAAAGGCAAAATCCCTAGGGTGGTATTTCTGAGGGTAGATCCAATAATTACAACTGGTGACTTATTAGGGAGGAGAGAAAAGGCCAAACTCCCTGCAGATAGAATCCCTGGGGTAGGATCCCTAGGGGTATGATGACTAAGGAGGGGAGAGGGAAAAGCCAAAATCTCTGGGGGTGGTATTACTGTGGGGGATCCAATAAACATGGCTGGTGACTGAGGAAGGGGAATGAAAGGCCAAATTCCTTGGGGGTGGTATCCCTGAGGGAGGTGCTCAAAGTTTGGGAGGGGGGAGTAGGGCTTTAGGAGACAAAATATGGGTTGGTTAACCTATAAACCTATAACTCAAACTCATTAATCCCAATCAGTGACAGACCTGTAGGCATATTCTGTCACATTTATCTTCCCTCTCAGTCCCGTAGTTTCTGTGCGACTTGTCAGGTTGACAGTGTTTCCAAATAGACAGTAGCGGGGCTTCTTCTGTCCAACAACACCAGCCACAACCTCCCCAGAATGAATTCCAATTGTGATCTAACATGAGAAAAGCACATCTCTTGGAGTTCACACATAAGTTATCACTTAAACTAAAATAAAAATAATCACACTTTGAACAGCCCCAATTCCATGTAAGCATGATTGCATCTGCTGACTTTTAAAGACATACTATTACCTGCATCTTTCTACCACGTGCATTCACTTCCTGAACAATGTCGATCATGTCAAGAGCAAGATTTGCAATGTTAGCAGTATGATTTGTGCACCTTGTTGGCAACCCACTCACAGCCATGTATTTGTCTCCAACTGTCTCAACCTGTAAAATGAGCATAAGGTAAGGTAAGGTAAGGTAAGGTTACGCCTCACATCATGGGGGGAACCAGGTTGTACTCCTGGGTAGAGGAGGCACTATGAAAGTAAAGTGCCATGCTCAAGAACACAACACAATGACCCAGCCTGGTCTCAAACCCAGGATTCTTAACCCAGAGTTGAGCCTGCTAACCATAAGGTCAGTGGCTCTCCTTTGCAGTGGCTACAAGAACAAATAGCATCTTTTCTTCTCCAGGAATAAAATAAGTCATAGTATTGTTTTGCCTCCTCAATTGGGTCACAGATCCATCTCAGATTATTCCCCCCCCCCCATCTCTCACTGAGTTTCCAAAATATCTCTTTCATACCTATTCATATTCCTCATTGGAAATAGGCAACAAGTCTAGCAAAAGGACACAATACAATGACCACCTCTGGGGCTTGAAAGCAGCTTCTCCCTTGCCTGCTAACAGGCTGCCTCCTACACTTAGGGCAGGGAAGTCTTTGGCCAGAATTAGCTTGGTTTTTCAGTAGAGACAATTCTACTAAAATAGCAATGTATACCTGTTTCCCGAAAGTTTTTGTTCTTATATTGTACCTTAAAAACTTCATTGTTCTTGTCTGCCAGAGCATCAAACCTGATATAGGTCTCATTCAAAAGTTCCACAATTTCCATTGGTTCACTGCTCTGATTACAATAATTTGTAAAATCCACAATACCACTGAACATAATTGTCACAATCTCATATTTTTTGGCCATTACTGGTCGCTTCAGTCTGAGGTCATTTGCAACTGATGTCGGTAAGATGCTGTAGAGGAGTCTATCAGTAAGCTGCTGCTCCTGCTGCAGCTCACGTGAGGTCTGCTGAAGCTTGTCAGTCAGTATCTCTAGTCGCTGAGAAAGACGTGATTCTGCATTGTGCTGTTCAGAGAGTAGAATGAGATCTCTTGTGGCATCGTGAATTGGAATATCACTCAGGTACAAACCTTAAGAGTAAATAAAAACAAGTATCAATATTTGGATTCACATGGGCTGTTATGGGAGCCAGATGCCACTAAAATTTACTTGACAGGAATGATAACAAGATTCTCCTTCACATTTTGCAGACAGCAGACCCTAACCTCAATGAACCTGAACCTAAGTGAATAACTTTACATACTATATGTTAAAAGTATAAAGACTTTGAAAGAGAATTTGTATTGTGACCATGGGGGTTATGGGTTTATAGACTATGAACAATCCCTGCTTTTGACAAAGTCTGTTGTGCAAGTAAAACAAAATTATAAAAAAAAAAAATTGATATAACCAACTCAAGTGATGGACCTCACAGAAAAGGAGGAACTGCTCAAAGACTAATGGGTTTACGTAAAGTGAATCATACCAATTTCATTGAGACCATCCAGGTTGAGAACACTTGGAGAACAAAGGAACATGATGCTGTCACATTCAGGAAGGTACATCATTTGACCACGAAATCTCATCGTAGGAAAATCCAAGGTACCCACATCATCTTCAGAAACTGTTGTCAAGGTAGCAGAGTCTAAAAGTCCTTCTTTTGTTTTAACAACATATACCTTATTGATAAATTGTAAAATGTTATCAAATGTCAGTGAAATGTGAGGACGAATACATTCAAACACTTCTTCCACTTTAGTTTCACCAACTTTAATGGAAGGCAAAACTCGCAGCAATGAAATTCCAGCTTGGTAAATAACCATTTCATTGTCAAAGAGAATATGAAAGGGACATGCTTGGCAGAAAGTCTGACTACTGATGCAAGACCCCAATGTAACTAGCTCCAACTTCTGTTCAATCTTTTGAATCTGCTCGTCGTGTTGTTTAAGTTGCATTATATCTTCATAGTTCTCAGGAGTAACAACAATCTTAGACCAAGTCTTCTCCTGGTTTGTAGACACAGCTACCTCAACATTCACCTTTGCGTTGTAGACCTCTCTTGCCACGGCTTTCACAACACCAACAACCATATACTCAAGGCCTGACCTTTCAGAATAGTAATAGATTTCTATCCCACTGCCATCCGGACTATCTTTGGCATTAAATGAAGGTGCTCGTATACCAGGGAAAATATACAGCAGATGCTCGTGCAGTGCATCTAGACTGTTGAAAAAGTCCTTTAAGTTGCTTCCAAGACTATCCAGCATCTTCTCGTAGCCAGAGTTTTGGCAGTACTCGAAGAATATTTCCCCAAACTTCTCCAAGATCACATTGTGCGATAGCCCTAATAAAAGTTGATAAGACAAATTAATTATATTCAAATAGCAAAGTTTGTAGATTAAAATTTTAGTATGGGTCACTGCTTAGAGAAGAAAAGGCTTAAAATCCTAAGGGAGAGGAAGAGGGCAAACTAAGTTATAACAACATCCAAGGGATATTGTTTGATTTAAAAACCAAATTCTCAGATAGTACATTAATAGAATATATGGCAGTCAAGAAAGAGAATGGAGAATGAGATCTTGGCACTGAAGGGGTGGAACCCTAAATGCATCTGAAGACAAAAAGAATTTGCTTAAATCCAAAAACAATGTGTTGTTTGGCAGCTGCAAGAGTCGAAATCAAATAAAAGAAGGCCTTACAGATTAATCTGCCGGAAAAAACACAGATCGTCTTATGCTATGTGCAAAAGGTATTTTTCATCTGAAGTAGTTGTTAATGCTGGTGTCAATTTGAATAATCTATTGTAAGACGTGTCAAAATCGATCTACTGCAATTGTCAAGATTGTCATCACATAAGTTGTGGAACAGAAAGACAAATCCCTCCTCTAGAGAATACCCTGAAATTTTTGCGCCATTATACTTTTTAACGTACCATACTAACTCGCGGCATTATTTACAAGCATGGATGAGTAGCTTGATGTACATAAATGCTTGATCGCATTAGTCTTTGTTAAAAAACAATTTTTGATTAGCGCACGGAAGAATTCATTTGGCTTCTTACTGCTTTAGCATTACTAATAGAAACTGCTCTTTTAAAAAGTTTTGTCACAAAGCTTTCTCAAAATCTAAATGAATCACTTCTAGAATATGCATGTAATTTGTAGTTGTGATTGAGAAAGTTGCAAACCCCCAAGCTCTTTAGGAAACAAAAACAAGATGTATGCAAAAAAATATGAATTTTCTCCCGATCCAGTCAATATAATTTTCTTTTTCACAACGTTAAAACTTGTCTTAAGAGGTCATCTCGGCTTATAAATACTCTCTGTCCAAATTCGCAAACAACACTGCCAAGTGATATGATTTCGTGCAATTGCTTTTAATTCACCGTCACATTCAGAACTAAACCATTCCACAAAGGCATAAATAAATATAAATAATACCGCAATTTCTAACGCGTTGACCAGCATTTGCCGATATTTAGCTTCTTCAGAAAACGAGGGTCATCTATTCAACCACAGATCCGGAGACAGGTAATAATAGAAACCCAACCGTGACCATAACAGTGAGCCAATACAAGAACCAAATGTAAACTCACCCAGAACCTCCGAAGCGACTCTTAGCAGGTCAAACGTATTTTGATCATCATATATTCGCCGTTGATTGAATTCTCCTGTTTCTCCTAAATCGATATTTGCTTTCTTCCTAAGGAGATAAAGATTAACAGTAATCAATCACGCTTAAGCGAAGTTCTCGCTTTTATGGATACACGAGCAATGCAGTTGTTTCCTTCGCGCGAGATTCATCGCTTGCGCACTGTAAAGCTGATCACAAAAAGCAGTACACAAACGAAATCTGTTTTGTTATACATACAGTATTTCTTCCCAAGTTCCGAAGCTGCTCTCTCGCAATACTAAATCTTGCAAAGCTTGGTTTACAAAGCCGTACATGGTCACAGTTCGTCAGGATGCCAGGCGAAGATGTACACAACCCGAGCAGTCGATAGAAGTATCAGCTAAGGAGCAGAGTTGACACTGGACACTTTCTAGTAACACTGATAATAAACGTCCATAACAAATGTCACCTATTTTGCATAATAATGGTCATTCTCATTAACACAAATTGTTTCGATTGGTTCAGACTCGTACATATCCGTTAAGATAAGCTTACCTGGAAAGAATCAAATCTACTGATATCGCCGAAAAAATGACACTTTAAACCAATATTGTTATTTGCTGATCAACCTCATACTTGCTACATTGTCCAGGCGCCAAAAATTTGGAATGGCGGGAATTTGCTAGAGAAAATAACACTCACCTCAAACGACCTGCATATCATATCGCATTTGACCATCTTTTAAGTTAATGTTTGAGCTCATCTTTACATTCTCCAACATTGTTCCTTTACCAGAAGATAAAAAAACAAAAAACAAAAAAACAAAAAACAAAAAAAAACACTTACGCCAAAATGAGGGAAGAGACAGACGACATAAAAACTCTTGTGGGGTGGGGTAGGGGGGTTACAAGCCAGTTCAGTGAATAAGACGTATTCCTTTGCGGTGAGAACAGACGACCTGCTCAAACTATCCTGTGATATGGAAATGCACAGATGGAAATCTCGTAACCGCCGCCTTAATGCACCGATTAAGTTCAGCTGTTCCAAGTAAACAACTGGAAGACCCCCCACCTTGTTTTCCTCGCTTCAGACCTCCGCTACGCTGTACCGCATATCCGGATATTGTTGAAAATAGAAACTGTATTTTTTTTTCTCCGTTTTCAAAAAGAATTCGCACCTACACGTGGTGTTTCCGGATCGATTCCTTTCCGCTAAACGGGAGGGAAGCAAAAGATTTACAAAAGAGAACAAACACTCAGGTCGCCGTTTTCCGAAATTCGTTTTAGTCCTTCCACTCAAAAACGACAAGCCGGCGTTTGTAAAAGAGAACTGTTAATGACAACCTCCGTCTTTGAAAATGTGTGTTAAAAATCACGAGAAACTATCTCCTCCCGACTTTTTAAAGCATTCAGTAGAGAGCAAACAAATAGTTCACAAAGTAGGCAGTTTGGTCATGCAGGTTCAACTGCCAGTCAAACCCCTCCTTTGCGAATTCTCGAGAAATTCTTATGGAGCCACAAAATGTGCTTCCCCCTTGAAAGGTGATATATGCTTACCGCAAGAATGCATGTTCGGGGGGGTTGCAGGGGGGGGGGGAAGGGGTTCACTTTGACTCTTTGAAAATACCAGATATTTGACAGAAAAATTTTGTAATCACTTGCTAATTCACCCAAAGGACTGGTTCAAAGTTTATTGAGAAAAATAAGTTATTGATCAAGCGTTAGGTCAGGATTATGCATTAGTACAGGCTTGCTTATCCAACCTACTCTAAGAGAGCAATTTTCTCATTAGCGTCGATATTAATCTGACATTGCATTGTTCTTGCTTACTATGCTTTGTAAATCACCACTCTCTCAATCAATCAGATGTAAAAATAACACCAATCATGACTTGGTTGCCCGCGTTTTGCCCGCACTTTAGGCGGTTTGAACACCAATCACGACTTGGTTGCCCGCGTTTTTCCCGCGCTTTAGGCGGTTTGTTTGTTTATTCTTCAAGTTCTTATTAGTTGATTGGCAGTTGTGATTATTTTCGTTTTGGTTTTTACGACATTCAATCGAAAAGCGCTCTTAAAACAGAATAAATAACAAAAAAGAAAGAAACATCAGTCACAAGTTTCGTTATGATATTGTTATTTAAATGAAGGTTCAATGTTTTCAGTTTTTTCAAAGTTTAAGATTTCACAAGCCCGCGAAAACGGGTTCCTGTTAACATTGTCACACAAGTGTTGACTTGCTTTTCATTTAAAGTGTCTTTAAAGGATTCTGAACGAGAGAAGGAATCATATATTCACATACTTAGGCAACAACTGAATGAAATAATTGTACGCTAAATCTGTGGCAGTTAAAAAATATAGCTCTAGCCATTTTTATATTCCTAAGATACATCTGCAGGGGCCTTAGATTCGAGTATTATTTACACTGCGTAAATTACATATGACTCTGGTCAGGAGTAATCTTATATTACTTATATTCCTTACACTCCAAGAAATGATTGAAAATTAGCTTCTCCTCACAATTTGAATACAACTTCCACCAAAAAGGTGATGAGCAAAGACATATTTATACACAACACCAAATTCGCCGATAAATTAAAAGAAACTATATGGCAACCAAAATAACTGCCAAATAAAGGTTTCAGAAGATCTGTCAAGGTGCTCCAAAACTTCGATTCTTCAATGATACAGAGAAATTATTTAGGTCTTTTTTTAAGTGTATTTAGTAAGTTTTTATATAACGCAAGTGATCTCACAAATTGTCGCTTAGCAACGTATCGAAATTTTTTCATAACGCTGATGAAAAGATGTGGATTATTGTAAATTTTTCAGCTAAATTTTTAAAACATTTCGTTCGTTTATCTCTTGTATAAACCTAATGATTTAAAAAATAATAATTTTTGAAAAAGAATGGCGACTTTGTGTCTGAAGTCTTAGATCAGTTCATGGGTAAATATTGCTTCAATGGTGCTTGCAACTCAGAAGCAATGACTTCTTATTCCTCATCTTGAAAACTTGGGTAGCTAATCGTATTTACATCCTATTTGGAGGGGTAATTTCCTGGGAGCCCCGCTGGCGGCCACGCGGGGAAAGCCCGTTTCCTCTGTGCCTTAATTTTCTCAAAGAAAAAGGTCTACATCCACAGAAGACGACGAATAGTTCTCTTAATGAAAGGGACTGAATACTGGCCATACGCCTCAGTTATAACGTAGTCTCAATTTTTTGGCTTAGCTCTACCAATTCCGTCAAGGACTCCTCATCCATTCCGATCAGGGAAGCGTCGCCATTGATGTTTTTAATGTCAAGATTACTGTCCTCTATTTCCTCGTCATCATCCGCAGCTTCGTCAATACTGTCGTCTCTGCTGAAGCTGTTGGCTTTGCGCACAGGACACAGAGAGGTTACCGTTATTCTCCGTTTCTTAGTGTTCTTGTTTCCTTGGTCCTTTTTCAAACTTTCCAGCCGTTCGTTAACCGAGGAGGCGAAGTCAACCGAGCTGATTCTTCGCTGGGGCGGGCCGTCTGGGGAGCTACTGCGGTAAGCGGCAGGTCCTGTATCACTTCTTCGCTTCATCGCTGGAGAGTGCGTCGGAGAAGTCCTCGGGGACCGAAACATGCAGATGTTGTTCGGTGCAACGGATGCAGCGATTTCCAGAATTGACAGTTGTTGTTTTGCGTTCTTGCTCCTGATCAGGAAGAAGCATGGTAGTGGGTTGGGGATCTCCGTGTTAGGAATGAACTCGAATTCAGAGGAACCTTTGAGAAAGCTGTACAGAAGGAAAGGAAAGCATCTATAGTTAATATATTTTAAGTGCTTAAGTCCACCACGGATATCATGTCTTCTCAGAATGTTACGAAAATCGCTTAATCTGTCAATCAATCAATCAATCAATCAGTATGTCTATCGATCAGTCAGTGAGTCGGTTGATTGGTCAATGAGTCAGTCAGCCAGCCGGCCAACAAGTCAGTAAGCTAGCAAGTAAGTCAACCAGCCAGTCAGTCAGTGAGTCAGTGAGTCAATCAGCCAATCAGCCAGTCAGCCAGTCAGTCAATCAGCCAGTCAGTCAGTCAGTCAGTCAGTCAGTCAGTCAGTAAGCTAACAATTAGGTTAATCAGACAGCCGGCCAGCAAGTCAGTGAGCTAACGAGTCAGCCAATCAGTCAGTCATTCAGTCAGTCAGCCAGTCAGTCAGTCAGTCAGTCTGTCAGTAAGACAGTTAGTCAGTCAGTCGCTCAGTCAGTCCGCCAATAAACCTCTCAGTCAGTCATTTAGTCCGTCGCGCAGTTAACAAATCAATTAGTTTGTCTGTCAATGCATCCGTCAGACAATCAATCATTCAGAATAGCTTTGTTTTTAAGTATCGGAAATCTTGGAATTTAATGAATAACATGATTCTCATTACAGGTCTACTTGTCCCTTTGCCGCTGTTTTCGTCAGCTCTTATTTCTCCTCACCGTTTAGTCTCGTAGCTGACGTTTATGTATCCTGGTTTGCTTCCCGATTCCATCTTGTTCGCCAGTGTGACAGTGCTTCCAAACAAACAATAGCGGGGCATCATTTTGCCAACAACTCCAGCCATAACCGACCCACTGTGAATTCCGATTCGAATCTGCCAAAGAAATAAACGTTCCCAGTGATTCCCATGTTACCACAATTTGCCTCGGCTGACCTTGCCGCGGGATTGAACTGGGGGTGGGGTAGGGGGGATGGTCAGGAGGGCTACCTCTTTTTTGATAAACAGACATCCCCCTTGTTCACTTTCAACGACTCTCCCTCGAACTTAGCTGCTTGCGCAGTAGTGCTAAATTAATGACTTCCTGCAAACTTTGGCTGCCTGCAAACTTTATAACCTATGACAGACTCCTAGTCAGTGAATACGAGCAAGGAAGAAAGATAGGGGGGTCGTCATCACACAAATTTTTCCCATCGCATCGCATCGCATCGCATCGCATCGCATCGCATCGCATCGCATCGCATCCCATCCCATCCCATCCCATCCCATCCCTGCCATTTGCCACTAGCCATGGGTACTTGCTCCACACCCAGATGTCGTGCGCCTTGGAATACGGGATGGCGCATTGGGCGTAACGAAGTTATGCTCATCTTTCTCGGAACCGCTCAAGAAACGAAAGTTCTGTCTCTTGAATTATCATATGTGTAATTAGTGCAAATCACATCTAATACCTTGAGAGGAGTTTTGTCAACAGGCGACAAAACCTTTCGAGAAGCTTCCATCATTGAGCATGCCATGTGAGCTACCTTCTCTGCATGATTGTCACATGGCTTTGGTAGACCTCCAACAACCATGTAAGCGTCACCAATTGTCTCCACCTAAGTGATGAGAAGAAACAACTTGGAGAATGAATACATTACCACTCTTGCTTTAATAACTGCTAAGCGAAGAAAGCTGCAGCTAAGCCCCGCGGCAGGCGAATCTATAAATGCAACGGTTGCTAAGCTAAATAAAGAAAAAGCACTTTCAAACCCTAATCCTATGCGTATCTGAGAACAATGGGAGGAAAGTGTGACTCTAAACTAAACAACCCTATTCCTAACTCAACATTGAGTGATCTCTGAGAAATATCTTACGCACAGAACGAAGGCAATACAAAAAACAACACTACATGAAAGCACGAAGAAAACGAATCGAACTTCGTCATAATCCAAAAATTAAAGTGAAGGAAGAGAACAATTTTTATTCCAAACACCTGTGGGGAAAAAATTGGTGGATGCTATTTCAAAGTCATTGTTTTTAAAATTATTTAGTTTACATTGTCCATGGAGAAAGACCCGTTTTGGTTCTTTTTAAGCCAAAATGAATAATTCAAATTTTATCGGTATTATAAAAGCGATAAAGGCAAAATTTAATTTTAGTTTCGGCTGTAAGTTGTTAAGTACACCTCCTCTTCAATCCTAGGGATAAAAAAAATTAAAAATTAATCTTGAAAGGATCTAGGCCAAGGAGCGGAAGACTATTCTGATTGGAGATAAATTTTAAAAATGTTTTTCTAATTTTCCTTTTCCTTTTTTTGCCAGACTGAAGTTAGCTGAGTTAGGCAATTTTTTTTTTTTTTGCTATACAGATAAAGCAATAAAACACCCCTGAAACTTCAAAGGCATTACAGATTATAAACATTGAAACCACATTTTTCTCAAAAAATTTAAATCGTTTTTGATGATAAAGGATGGAAGTGAAGTGATTTAAGATTCTGACTGTAACTTTGTAGTTTAAAGGGCATTTGAGTCGTTTTTCTTTTCTCTCGTTCAGTTCTGTTGGGTTCCAATCAATTTTCATTCATAAGCTACAGAATCCTAGCAATCAACGCATGCAAATTCACTCCAAAATGCCGCACCTCATGATGAGATGACCGTCTTTGATAAGATGCGGCTATGGACCCAATAAGGTCTTAAATGATGATTTTGTTGGATCAGATAAATGACATAGCTAATTCTAAATACTGATTTTGTATCCTGCAAAAATCCTTTCGCTCAGAGCGCGTAATGATTACAGAGGTAAATTCAAATCTCTCAGAACTCGTTGTCTGCTCTATTAACCGCCTACAGCCAACGTTCGATGTTCCCGTAAAAATACAATGATTAGTTTTTTAAATAAAGCATTAACTGTAAACACAAAAAAATTGCCCGTAGGCAGCAGGTTGTCTGTTTATTATAAATAGCACAGAAACGTGAAAACACGCGAAGAAAAATATATTGATTAATCTATCAGCGTTATTTATTCGTTTCCCTTGAGAAACCTTGGATCTTTCTCCTCGGATTACTCCCAAGCTATGAGCACTCCATGTGATCGAGAAAATGTGAACTATAGATTCAGTTCAAACTCCTTAAGAAATATCTTGTCACTTCGCATATGAATAATCTATAAATTTTGTCAGTTCATGCAAAATTCATAATTAAAACTGCAAACTAAAAATAAACGGAAAAACTGATGAAAATGAGATCTATTGGAGTCTTCTTTTCATAGACACTCCCACACATTTGAATTGAAAAATGAGAATTTTTTTTAATAGGCGCCAAAACTTTGCACATATTGGCATAAAATTATTAGTTTAACAAAGAGGCCCTTCGTAAATTCGACAAAACTTGACAATGTCCGCGTTGATAATCTTAATCTTAAACATTATCTCGGTATAGATGGAAGACATATTATTTTCTATTACCGCTAACCATGATTAGACTATCATATACAAAAAAAATAACATTATTAATTTGAAGCGTAAAAATATTATTCCTTCGAAAATAGTCAAAATAACTGATGACAAAAAAATGTTATGGACTTTTCAGTGTAAATTTTGTGGACATTAAAACCATGCTGATAAGCTATTAATTTCTTGGAAAAAAAAAAAGACGAAAACAGAGATTGACGTTTGGAGGGTAATAAAGAAAACTTTTTATCACTCGATCTCCAGTGTAGCGTTTCCACTTGCCTTTAGGAATTTCGTAAGTGGAAAATCGGAAAAAAAAATCCCTCTTATATTGAAATAGTAGGTTACGTATTGCTATTCAAAATGTGGTTTAATGAATGCCGTATGTACGTGCTTTGTTTTGATTTAAACCTTAAGCTTTTAATCTTTCTGCTTTCCTCTTGGATGCAAATAAACATTTTGTTCTGGTGGAAATATCCGGAGTCGAAATTGCAGAAGAGTTCCAACAGAGAATATAAATTTTTTTGGCCGTTGCAAACTGAAGTCCATTGCCAAAATATAAGTTTATCGTGAAGATGAAATAATTTGTTACGTGGGGTCATAGCCGAAGAGAGATGGCAAATAAAACGCTTTTATCCAGGAAGTCTCAAAAGCGTCTCAAAGAAGTGGGACTGTCAAAGTAGTCAAATATCAAGGGAGGCGATATTTGCATAAAAAGTTTGGACAAAAAATAGAGATGATAAGAAAAGAATATTGTGTCGATGAAAATGAATGCTGCGGCAAACCTTTCAGTATTAATTATTGATAGTCATGCGAAAAGAAATACGAATTAAGATGCTAAACGATAAGATTCAGACAATAAAGGCATAAAAGAGACAGCTTTCTGTTGTTTGACGCGTCTATAGAAATGTGCGAACAACGAGAACAGACAGTTGTTTGCAGAAGAACTGACAGAATTTAAAAGAAATATTATCTTCGCGTGTGTGTGACAGTTACATCTCAGGCGCGAGACTCATAGAGATCAGCGTTGTCATCGCTAATAAAATATAAACCCGCTAAAGGAGATGAACGGAGATCGAAGGTTTATTATAAACAACAGAGCCACCAACGGTGAAAAAAAGTCGCAGGCTTAGTTTTGCAGCGTTTTGTAAACACTTGTCAATCACAAACGACCATCTCTCCCACAAACACAAAAGCAGATTTAAAGGGCAAAAAAGAAGTTTATTATTCTTACCTTGTAAACATCGTTCATCCCACTCAACATGTCAAAGTAGGTGTAAAGTTTGTTCAGCATCCGCACGATGTCCATGGGAACAATTTTGTCGTCGGAACATAGCGCTGTAAATCCGACGATGTCGCTGAAAAGGATCGTGACCAGCTTGTAGTTTTCCGCGGGCACCGGTTGATTCAACCGCAGTTTAGCCGCGACTTCTTGGGGCAGAATAGAATGCAGCAATTCGTCTGTGCGTTTTTTGTTTTCCGTCAGTTTAACTTCCAGTTTCTTCAGGTCGTTGCTAGTTTCTTCCAACTTTTCCACCAATTCTCGCTCGGCTCTTCTCGCCTGTGACATAAAAATCAAGTCACGCGTAGCGTCGTGAACAGGTATATCGTTGAAAAAAATACCCAGATTCTTAAAACTGTCTAAGTCATTTGCCCGAGGGGAACACAGAAATAGAATACTGTCGTTCTTGGGAACGTAAATCATCTGACCCTTGAGGCGTAATAATGGATTTGCAATGCTCATTCTCCGATCTTCTGGACTGCCTGACACGTTGGACACTGTATCCGCCGCAAGTCGCAGCGCGGACTGTTTTACTGTTACAATAAACACTGTATTTATATGCGCAAGAACAGAATCAAACGCAAATTCCATACGCGGTCTTGACAGTTCAAAAATTTCCTTGAACGAAAATGAATTAGCAGTCGTGAACCGTTTGTCCAGAAGGCGCATCATGGCAACCCCAGTTTGCGTGATGTTGAGTTTACGATCGAACATCACGTGAAATGGAAAAGCTTTGCAGAATGACAACAAACTGAGCCCTCCTCGCCGTTTCTTGCCCATGTTTTCGCTATCCAATGACATCATTGCACTATGATTATCTGCCATGGTTTCTAAATCAAAGGCCTGTAGCCCAAGCTTGGATTGCGTTGCATTTGTGCAGCCTGTCTCTCTGATTGAAAACACCACATGCCCACGTTCGTCTGAGCGCGCTTGCTGCACGCACACCTCCACCTCGGTGTCAAGCATTTTATTCGCAACCGCTTTAACGACTCCAATAACGATGTGCTCCAGCCCTTGCCTCCGTGAGTAGTAGTGGAGGAGCAATGTTCCATCGGGCGTCTCAGTACAGCGAAACGACGGTGCTTCCATTCCTGGATAAATCGTAGCGAGATGATCGTGGAGTGCATCCAAGTTACATAAGAAATCTCTCAGATTTCTTCCCAGCACCTTCAGAATCCGATCATAGCCGGTCTGCAGACAGTAGTCCAGAAAATGTGAGCCAAAAGCTTCCAAAACAGCGTTCAGAGGCAGAGCTGTTCAAAATAAGTTTACGAAGCAGATTTTCAGGGTTTTTTTGTTTTTATTAAAAATTTCAAATGTAAATTGCACAGAGCTCGCGAGATAAAATTACTTATGCGATAACCCTGGTTTCAGACCGAGTGGAATGTTTGTTAAGGCGATTTACGGTATATCAGCCCATGCGAACTTCGTCTATCTCAAAACCTGTTTGTAATCAATAAAATACGAGCTGAACAGTTTACTATATTGCATACCTAGAGTCTCGCAAGCCGCAGCGACCAAACTCAAGGTCTCCTCATCATCGTAAATTTTGTGAATAAGGTATGATCCGCCGTCCAATTCTACCCCAGCCTTCTCGCTGAAGAGAAAAACAAAAAGAATATAATTGCACTATACAGGGCCCTTTTCCACTTACAATCCATTTAAGCGTTCCAAAAGCTATTATTGTCTCCTTACACGATAGATCGCCAAACGTCTTCGCCGAACTTAGAAACGACCAAGTCAGCTAGTGCACAGTGAATGAATCCATACTGCGAGAGAAACAAAGATACAGTTGGTAACACGCTACACAGATAACTCAAGCGATCTTTGAAAACGAGAGCAAGGAGATCTTACCATATTTCTGCTGCACTCGAGAAGTTCAGCCCTCTGTGTCAAGCTCGCGGCGCTCTCTTAATGATTTTCCTGATTGTTTTAGGTGTTAGTCACGTGTCATTGTATCTACCAAAGCATCTAGGCTGTAATTACTGATAGCTCAGGAAATCCAATCGCCTTGGAGTGTCTTTGTCAATAAGACACCTTAGCATCGTATCTGCAAAGCAACCGGCTTGTCAAAATTTACTGACTAATTGCGCGTTCTCAGCTCAAAACATCTGATATTGCATTTGCGTTTGCCAAAGTATCAACAAGGCTTACAGTGCAAACTTCACACGATAGATAAGCTTTAATTCGCACGAAACATAACAAAGTCGAGGACAGAAATTCTGATTTATTCATCCAATTTTCTCTGCATTCTCCGCATTCAGTTCCCAGAGTAAACAAACAATTCGCTCTGCAATACTTTAGGTGTCGAAGTCTTATCGCGTAGAATATCTTTCCTGTGTCCTTCCATATCAGTAAGCACAATTACCTTATTCTGCACGTTTTTTTGCGATTATTCAGAAACGATAAATTGTCGTCAGCGATCGCGAACTCTGTTTCATAACGCGTAGGTCAATTAGGGATTTAAAACCCTCGAGGCAACACAAAAATGTGACGCCACAATGAAGGATTTTATTGCTATATCTTTGTAGTTTGATATAAAACATCCTGATTGAACAGGCATCATGACAGCTTATTGTGTGCGAAGTACCATCTTGTACATGAACAATTCTGAAAGTTCAAAACCCAGTTGCTCCTAAAATTAAACATGTGATATTTATGAAAGCGTCCCGTTGGGGCAATAAAATCTACGGATATTAAATGCCCTCGTGCTTGTTGCGTCTTGTAAATACGGCCATACGTGTTTTAGCTTAACTGCTCATGGACCAAAATACGGTTACCGAAAAGCCATTAATATAATTATTTGTCAAACGAGTGTCATTTCTTTGCCCGCTCGCGTCGAGAATCCATAAATGCATAATGAACTCGACGACCTCTTAGTGAAAAAAATTGAATGGGTCGCCCTTATTTTGACGTTAGTTGCGAATATTCGAAAGACTTCAACGGTTTTCATGACAATGTGCGTTTTAAACTCACGGCGTTAGCTGGCGATTTATGTAGTTAAGAAGACACAGAAAAGATCTATAATAAAATAAAGTAAATTGAATACTTCACATTTACCGAGGTTGCTGTTGATATCTTATCAATCTGTTTCGGCTTTCAATAACCACTTTGCGTCGAACTGGTATGCTGGAAACACTGGTGGTAATATGTTGGATCAATAGCTTTACTCTAGGTCCACCGAAAAACCAGTTCACAGAGGCACTGTGCCTTGATTTAGAAATTACTTTGGCAAAAGTTCGACATGAAACAAATCTTTCCAGGCGCGATTTTTTGTAAACTACGGAAGTTCAATTAACGCATGAATGGGCTTACCTTTTGAGAGCTTTAAAACGAATTCTGTTTGATTTAGTCCACGCATACACAGCCAAACCTCGGCAGTGCCAGTCAGAAGTATAGAGAAGAAGCAGATTTTACTCCTTCACAATCACAGTATTCATTTAGATCCTTTAAATTCAAGTGAATATGACCTACGTAGAAGCAACCGCGGTTGCTAGGTAGCGGTGGGCTGAGGGAAGTTCGTAATTTGAATAAACGTTTTAAGGCTGAAAGGATGTAAATTTTTAGCGCGAAAATAGCAGTGCCACGTTACCCTATAGAAAATAAGTAGGAAAGTGTTTTTATTTTGTTATGTAGCTTTTTCCTTTACACAGTTTGTTATACAAAATTAGTAAACGTTTTTTTAACGGTCTCGAAAATTCCGCGGAAAAGTGACAAAATTGAATTTCAATACTATCGATTTCAGTACAAAAGATTCCCCATTTAGTGCGCATTTGGAATCCATGTGTTAAAAAGGTTTTTGGAAAGGACTTTCATTGATTAATGGAAAACAATATCGGGCATCATAGAATATTGAAGCAAAGGTAATGAATAAAATCTCGTAGAGAAAATACCCAACTTGTGGATCGCTTCTAATATTTACACAGATCCTATGTCGGAAATCTGACACAATCAGTGATTTTGAAATTCATTAAGTGAAGGAGCTCCTGGTACAAAATCTGATTTCATTGGCTACCAGTAGTGTAAACCCATCCACGTTAAGTCCCGGTGTTCTAAGTAAGCACTTTATATTCACGGCTATCAATTATAAATCAAAAACACATGTGAAAAGCAGAATGTCAAAGAAAATGTTTTTATGTAATTGAAAAAAAGTGCAACTTGCAGGTGACAAGAAAAATAACAACATTATCGGCCACACTTTCCTTCGATGTGACTCTGATACAAAACATTCGAGGGGATAGCTACTTAACCAGCAAACTCAGCATTCTTTTGTAACTCACGAAATAACTCCAATTCACAAACCTCTCTCTTAAATTAACTAAAACCATCAAAAGTGATCTCATCTAAAGCTTTTTTTTCTCAGAAATCAGATACTGTAATTATTTTCTCGAAATTTCGAGCACTTCAGTTGAAAGAAGTATCTACCGTGACCCAAATCATTACCTGATGTAGAAACCCCGAGTAAAAATATCAACTCTCTATAACCCAGAAAACATCTCTTTCCCCCCAAGAAATTCACAAGGTGATTAATTTCGTCATAAAACTTAAAGTCTCATTTTCTGATTTTGTGGAAACGAAATTCTAGCTATGGAAAACAATTAAGAGTGTCATTCGCTCAAAACCCGTGCTTTTGGACTGAAACCAACGCGCTTAACGTACCCAATGCAACAATTTTTTATGTTCCGCGTTTTATTTAGTTTACCTCCCGGGTTGTGGTCTTCGTATTGGGTTTTGCCTGTAAATAAAGATCTGTATCTGTAGCATTTCCTAAGGACGTGTTTCCCCTTAAATTGCCTATACAATACATCTGTACCTTCCCATTGTTCAACTCCACGTATGCCGATTTTCCCGTAAAAATATTCTAAGGTTGCAGTGTTGACTTCGACTTGGGACCTCGCAGGATTTGGTAAGGTACACTCAATATTACTGAATACTTTGTTCCAACGTTAACTTCTCAATATTTCAGCAAATTCTACACGATTTCGTTGCTGTAGACTATATGCATATAAATACACCAAGGTTCGCATTTAACATATTTGAAATTCTCATATGTATCTAGTTAATTAGGACAAACCTATTAAAGAATTAATACGTGTTGCTTTCAACGAACTTCATGTTTTCCATCATTTTCGGGTCTGCAAACGCCCATCGCATTTCTTGATATGAACTTTTTGAAATTAGACGTCTTCTATTGATAAACAAGTTTCGTTTCAAGCCGCAAAGCAAGCGAAGCAAGTTTGCTATTATTTCCGTGTGTTTCCGTTCGATTTTCAAGCCAAACTTGGGCTAACACAATATCCATGCGTAAGTGTGACGTTACATCTACACATGAAGAACATATGATATAGTGTTTTCTAGATAAACATGTCATGTTGGCTTAAATGTATTAGTAGTTGAAAATAATAATATTCATGTTCGTTCGGGTGACCTTATAACATCAACACGCTATCCGACGTCGACGTTGCCAAAATTCTCTTTCATATCTTTCCGTCCAATAACTCTTTCCAAAAGAAGAGCACATTCAAAATAACTAATAAATAACACTTACTATAATCTCCTTGAGCAGGACTTCTTGCGGCAAAAGCAGAGTTTGAGTTTCCGTGAGTTCCCTCAGGCTTAACAAAAGAAAATTTCCATATGCAATGCTGTCTCGAGGTAATGGCAGAAAATTTTATTGTGAGGCGAGATATTTAAATTCGCAGCCCTTTGTAATATGGCAACGTAAGAGGTAATATATTTTCCAGTAATGTACGCGGCATTGATTAAAAACCGTCCTTTCTTAATTAATCGTTTCCGACTGGTTATTCGCTACACCGCGCGGAGAAAATTCCAGATGAATTCCCTCATAGGTCGTTAGAAGGTTGTTGATCCATTTTGCCAACCAGCTATCCACAAAAATATTTCACAGACCAGACTAATTCAAACAAGTAATTAAAATGCTAATGAACTTCACTTCTGAATGTTTATTTGAAAGAGCACTTCCATGTTTTGACTATACAGGCAATTAATAACATTTCAAGTTGTTTTTTTCATTTCAAGGAATGACAATCTTCGTTCAGACGCCAACGTGGCATTTTAAGAGAGCTGATAAAGCAGAGCATACCTTCACTAATCAAATTATTTGATAAAAACAATCACTATCTCATTAAGAACAATATTTTTTTCGACACGGAGCGAGTGGGGGAGGACTGCCTAAAATTCTTATCGAGTCCTTTAGGCAGCAGAGCACTATCTCGTAAGTGTACCTCAACAAACTAACGCCCCTTCTTCTTATTATTATTATTTTCATCTTTTCTCCGCACCTTATAAGCTCCTAGAATGGTCAATTTAGCCGGGGGTAGTTTTAGCCACTCTCTTATTTCAACCCGCAAATCATCTCCTTTTCAATGTGGGACCCTCCTTTCTCTCTCCACGCATAGATGATCATAATGAATGTCCATAACAAAGTAGTATAGTGATCCATACCCAGCATCGATAAAATACCCCAAGAGAATTTGATGCCAATAAAGATATTTTTAACTTACGACTTAAGCAAAAACATTTCTATATTTGGGATCTACTTAAGAAAAACATGATGCGCTATTAAGTGCACTCTAAATGAACAGGATTCTTTGATTAAGATACCCGTCAACGCATTCGCCCCATTATATGGTGACGACAAGATGGGAGTGGTCTTTGGTAAAAATATCAACATTCAGTGTTATTGTTGCGAACTATAGTTAGGAAATCCGGCCAACCGGAACTGTGGCTCGCCATCGCTCAGGGGAGACCGGACCTGGAACAGGCTTGACACGTATGAAGTAGACAAATTATGTGGTAAATGAATAAATGGAAAATATATATAAAAATTCTTAACAAAGAAATTCATTAATTGCTTTCAGCTAATTATTGACCTTCGGTACCATAGCGCGACCGTCACATTTAATGCATTCTATAGCGTTAGTAAGGTGAAGCATTCGGTCGTACGGCTAAAATGATCAAGGTAGTTTTTCCTAGTTATCGCTCAATCCTTGATTGCAATATACCTTTATAGAACTCACAAACGAAGAGCACACGTGCACACGTGCACACGTGCACACGTAATAATCAACTGGTCATTTGAGAGTATTAAGACACACCATGAGGTAGTTCCTCGGAGCCTTTGATTTTCTTAGAGAAGGGGGGCACGAGAAAGCATCCATATGTTAATCATTTGAGTTTGCATGCCCATAGACTATCTTACCACAGAAAATAAGCGCTCTTGTTAATAAAGTTATTTGATAAATAACAAGACCTAAATTAGCGCAAATAAAGGTGGAAATTATTTTCCAAAAATTAAAGCAATAAGCTCCTAAATTACATAATGAAGGAAATTAATGTTCTCCGATTAAAGAAACGGAATTGGTTGAAGCAAAAAAAAAAACAGATCTCTATCAAATATTGAGGTAAAGATCCGCAGAGCATGCAGCACATAATGTTTGTGGAGTTTTCTCTAAAGAGAAGGGATGAGAGGGAGAATCTCTCTACTTAGTTCTTTCTTCACAGTGTTAATGATTCTGGCGAATCTCCTCCGGCCTCCCTACTAAAATAACACTGTTTGGTTATTTTTTCTTAGTTGTCAAAAAAATAATTGGAATAGGATATTTGAGGAAAAAATGATGAAAATTTGGGTCGTGGAAATTAAAAATCCCCTCTGTTAATTAAGTGGAAATTAAAGCTATCAAAATCAATTGCGACTTAAATTCAATTCATGAACAATTTATATCCTAAAATTTAGTAAACTGTGTGCACCATGCCAAAGAAGAGATTTATAGTTTTTAGTATCACGATTTAAGATCACTGAAATGAACAAACTAAATTTTCCTTTAAAAACCATTGTAACAATTCTTTTCCAAGTGTGGCTCGTTGTAAGTGAGTAGAGAAGTGATAGGATAGCGTCATTATTAGCCACTGAGAACTCATAGAAAATACAGGCAAACTACCACAAGCGCGGGAAAAACGCGGGTGACGAAGCCACGATTGATAGTAATTTTGCATCTCATTGGTTGAGAAAATGGCGCTAGTTTTCTGGCTCAATCACAGAGCGAGGTGAAGCAGAAACTTATGTAGTCCTGGATTTCTTTCGACCCCCGGTTGAAAATTATTCTTTGCAGTGTCGAAAGTGATAACTATGATTTTGCTTCACTTTCCACTGTGATTAGTCGGCCAAACGCAAGCCACTATTTGAACCAAACAGATACAAACCACCGCCAATCTCTATCTGGTCTCTTGCGTTTTCCCGCGCTTCCAGCAGTGTGCTTGTTTTCACATTGAGTTCGTACTGACTCGTCGTGATTTTTTTTTTAGCTCTGATCGGCCGTTGTGATTCCTTTGGTTTTAGTTTAACGACTGACTCGATCAAAGTCCGCTGCGACCTAAGCTCTGCATTCTCCAATTACATAAAGGGCAGTTTTCAAAGAAATATTTGATTTGAAGAGCACTGTCGTGAAGAGTAGCTTGTGGTTCGAGTAGCATAATCAGTTGAGCCACTTTTAACAAATAGAAGACTGATTTTAACTCGATAATTCAATAATTCTGAGAAAATAATTCTGAGAAACTTTTCAAAAGCTGCTTTTTTTCGATGCGTACCTGCTTTCTCTCACTCACGCTCTAACAATCTGCAAGCAGCTGACCCAGAATTAGTGATATACAGGTTTCAGTCATTCCAGCCTTGAGGATGTGAAGATGTGTCATTCCCCAATAAAAAAATACAACGAAGAACTACGACACACAGCTGAAGTCATTCAATGGTATTCATTTCGGTTTACAGTCAAGTCGCCCGAAACCTGAGTCATGTTGCCCGAAATTTTAGTTTTTAGTCAAGTCGCCCGAAGAAGCAAATACTGAAAAGATCGGAATTTCAGACTGTAAATAGGCAATAACGTTGAGAAATTTTTATCACTAAAACGCTCTTTGTTCCCAACAACACCATGAAGATTCTTAAAGCGTTGTTCGTTCCTAACAACAAAAGGAAACGTTGTTCGTTTCCAACAACAAAATGAAGCGTTGGTCGTTTGGTATGTAATCGTTTCTTACTCACGGACGTTTCGTAAGCCTGAGAAACTTTTTCTTGGTTTTTAACAATACCATGAAGACTTTGACTACACAGAAATCGATCGTATGGTCGGAATTGAAATATGTTTGAGTAACGATTCTAAAAGCGTTGTTCGTTTCTAACAACAAAGGGAAGCGTTTTCCGTTTCAAGCAAAAAAATGAAGCGTTGTTTGTTTGGTACGTACTCGTTTCTTACTCACAGACATTTCGTAAGCTTGAGAAACTTTTTCTTGGTTTCTAACATAGCCATGAAGACTCTGACTACACAGAAATCGATC